GGGGAGGGTCAGAGGGAGAAGCAGACTCCCTGCTGAGCAGAGAGCCCGATGCGGGACTCGATCCTGGGACTCCAGGATCATGACCTGAGCCGAAGGCAGTCGCTTAACCAACTGAGCCACCCAGGCGCCCCGCTTTTGGCTTTTATTATTTTATCTCTTAAAAATAGTAAGTAATGTAACAAGTGCAAATGGAACTATATTCTCAAATGTCTGAAAAAAAACTTAATAAAGTTAAAAGCTCCTCTAAATCAACATTTTGGAATGCCGATTCCAGATTTTCTGCACTCATACCACATACACAGTTTTTTTTATTCACAGAACAATACTATACACATTTTATCCAGCATTTTTACCTTATCAGCATATATGTGAAAATTGTTCTTCGTTATACATTTGTAGAGCTCAGAGGAGTGCCTGGCACATGGATAGCACTCAGTTTACCTCATTCTTTGGAACATCTCAATAGCAACCTACTACACGAATGTAGGCTCCGTGCTGATAATCTTTAAATTTCAAACTTGCCCTATTAAGACAACCAAATCTCCAATTGATTACCATCGGCCCAGATTTCTCCCTTAGGTCTGAAACTTAAAATGACGATTGCATTTCCACGTCTAACAACCCAAGTTTCACAGCCTAAACTGGACCTTTTTAGTATCTTCCCCCCCGAAAAGCCCCCAAACTCGTTTTTTCCCCCACCATCACGTATCCACTTATTCAATCTAAAACCCACATTCTCCATTCATCAGCCAATCCCACCAGTTCTACCTTCAAAATTTCTCCTGGTATTTGTTTCCCTCCATACCAATCTTAATCCAAGCAATTTCATCTTGTCTCGATTAATGCAAAAATATTCTTGGTTCCTTTCTTGCCTGCTGTAATCTATTCTCCACACAGGAAAGCAACTTCATTAAGACAACTTTAGGTCATTCCTCTGCTTAAAACCTACCCATCATTCCTCAAAAACACTCAGAATAAACCCCAAACTCCGTACCTGTGAAATTCTAATAAGGCTCCTGCCCACCTCTCTCACGGGGCCAAATCCTCTAACACAGAATCAGGCTCCCCAAACGGCGCGGCCACGTGTTCACCGACACATGCGCCTCCCAGACCCAAAGCCTTCCGCTAACTTTCAGAGCAGGACACAAACGGCTCCGACGCGATTCTGAGCGCTGTATTCCTCCCCTTCGTCCTCCCTGTCTTCTCCTGCACAACACCAGCCTTGCCTCTCCAACGGTTCAACCTGCAACTTACCTTAAAAATGGCGTAGCCGACAGACGTTTCAAATAGCACCAACATGGTGAGGCCGGGTCAGGGCGCTGCGCGGCCCGCCGCGAGCTCGTATACCAGTGAAAAGAGACCAAACTTTCGGCCCCCAAAGGCCTGCGAGGCCGCAGGAGGCCGAGCACAAACGCGAACGCCTTCTCGCAAAGAATCAGACCACGTTGCCTAAACGTTCCAAAGTGGACTATGGGTACAACGCCGGAACCCGCTTCTCCTTCTCCAAGGCTTCTGGGATATGACGTCACTTCCGACAGATAGAGTACCGTCGCTTCCGGTATGTTCCCGCCAACGGGGTGGGAGGAGGGAAGAGGGAAAAAAAAAAAGAGAGAGAAAGAAAGAAAATGTCGCGAGATTTCTTAGGGACTAAAGCGAGCTTTTAAGCGGTACGGAAACCTAAAAGGGAAGAACTTTGCTTTTTATTATTTTTAAAATTACTATATGTGATATATTTTACCTTGAGAGAAATGCGGAGCTGTTTCGTCCGTTTGCCCCAAGCATCTGGAATTTGGGAAATGCTAGCCGCTTAATTTTACTCCCTGGATAGCGCTGGCTTGAAGTCAAGTTCTCGGGATGACACCATGACTGTGCCTGTGTATGCGAGCACTCCTGGCCGTTCTCTTCTCTCTGGCCAAACTGATTATTAGCACAGATGTCTTTTATGTATATGTAGGCCTATCCCATTTTTGCTGCAATGATTCTAGGGTAGGCATTTGGACTTTACGTCCTTGCCTTAGCGGAATTTGCTTTTCTGGTACCTTTCAGTTTGAATGACTGATTTAAATACCTCAATTATTCCACAAGTCTGGCTTTCAATAGGAGTGAAGTTTCCTTCCTCACTTTCCAGGCCTTATGTGCGGATCGCTTGTAAACATTAAGTTGCAACCTGCTGAAAGTTTTGAAACACTAAGTAACTTGATTTTTTTTTTTCAAGTAGCTCTGCAACCTAGCATCAAGAGGAATGAAAATCCTGGACTGAATGACAGAAAAGATGAAAGTGGGGAAAAATCAAGGGATGGGGGAATCTAGGTTACAAGACAAGAGTATGGTCGATTATACCCATAGGATTCAGTGTGGTCAGGGAGGCAAGAGAAACCAAAATGGCTTGATTGGGAAAGGAAGGGTAGGTAGATGAAATGGAAGCACAGCGTCTGTTTGTGGTATTATATCATTTCACAATATATATCATTTTCTGTCTAGTTTTCTTTCTTTTTTAAAAGATTTTATTTTTTTAAGTAATCTCTACACCCAACATGGGGCTCAAACTTACAACCCCAGAATCAAAAGACACATGCTCAACCAACTGAACCACCCAGGTACCCCTCTTTAAAAAAAAATTCTTAACCATTTAATGAATGAATGTTTGCAGGAAGTAAAATTCTTTTTCTTGTATCTAAAGCTTGCATCCTTTATTCAAAGAGAAACGAAACCACTTATTCAATGAGAACCCTCATTGAATACTGTGGCTTATCGGAGAAGAAGAAATTGCACATTGCCATTTATGTAATCAGCTCAGTGATGCATTCGTCCAGGGTTCAGAGCTGACTCTGGATTTGGATTTGGATCTTGGCCAAATACAGTAATCATCTGAAAATTCCCTGTTGCAAGAGAAAAATAAGAGATTCAATACTTGATTAAACAAAGTACTAGGACAAGGGGAGATAGCACAAAGAAGTATGAGGAGGAGAATATGGGAGAGTATAGATAACCCAGAAGAAGGACTTATAACTTTAGTATGGCTTAACATGGTGAAAGGACAAAGATAAGAAACATGGTTCTTTTGTTCTCTCCTCACCCTCCAGCCCCATCCCTGACCTAGCTAGAATATAAGCTCCATGAAAGTTCATTGCTGGATGCCCAGTACTAAGCTAGTATCTGGCACATGGTAAGGACTCCATAAATACGAGTAGTGATGAGTAAATGAAAGACTGGAATGAATAATGGGATTAAATTTCAAGGTGCTAATACAGGCTCCGTGTACTTTTTGGGGCCAACTGATATTGGCAAAAGATGTCCTTTTGTTCAGAGACCTCTCATGTGCCTTGTAATAAATACAAGGAGATGTTTGGATCTTTCATGTCGTTCAAGTAGTAAACATCTTTTATGTAGTCAACAAATGTGAGTGTTTACTCTCTGTCAGACATTCTTACAGGCACTAAGGACATACCAGTGAACAAAACATGGAGAAACTTCCATACTTCATGGAACTTCTAGTAAGGGGAAACAAAATAGATAAATATCTGGTATATTAGAGAGTACTAGATGCTACAGAGAAAAAGAAAGCAGGATAGGGGAATAAGATATTCCTGGATGGCCAGGAAAGGCCTCATTGAGGTGACATTTGAATAAATGACTTTAGGGAGCCAGCTCTCATGATATCTGGAGGAAAAGTATTTCAGGCAAAGAGAACAGTTTATTCAAAGATACCAAAGCTGGAGTGTGCCTGGTATGTTCTCAGAACAGTATGACCAATATGACCAATATGGCAGTATTGGGGTGACTAATAAATGACCCCATTTAAAATCAATGAATTAACATTTTCACCGACATAACAGTATTTGTCTGTTTTCAGTGCTCGTCGTATGATGTAATTCTCACAACAAACTTAGGCAATAGGTACTCTACTCTTATTATTACCCTAATTTGCCTTTTCAAAGAAGTTAAGAACCCAAGATCACACAACCTCCTTCACGGTTTCCTTTAGGAATCCGCAGAGGTTGGGCCATAGAGATTGTTTCTGTCACAGAATTGTTGAGCTGCTGCCTGTCACTCTGTGTTCCCTTGCCCGGTGTCTGCTAGTATCGCTGTCTTTCTGTTGTTGATGGCTGCCTCATCACTGAACACAGGTCCTGCCCACACCATGGCGCATTTTCTGTACGCCGCCACCTTCAAGGGTTCTTGTTCCTCTCCAGGTAACAGGGAAGCAGCTTTTGTGCTTCTTAACCTGTTCTTTTGTGAGACATATTTTTCTTTGTGCCAAAGTCCTCTCCTTCCAGAGACCATGGGTACTTGGAGGAAGGAGAGGCAGTTAGGACATGGGTTGGAAACAGGCTCAAATCTCAGACCATCTGTTCTAACAGCCACGCTTTCCTGCTCAGTTTGGCTCATGCAACTAGATGCAGGATGACTTCCTTTCACGATCCTACTGTGGCTCTCTCCGGTCTGGCATTTTCTGAGGACTTCCTGCCATCAGATCAGCATCTCAGAAGGAAAATCTTTTCTGTTTTTAAAAAGAATTTATTTTTAAGTAATCTCTGCACTGAAAGTGGGGCTCAAACTCACAACCCTGAGATCAGAGATCAGGAGTCACATGCTCTACGGACTGAGCCAGTCAGGTGCCCCCTGAATAAAAATCTTAATGTCTTTCCCTTATTTGCCCTATGTACCGTAGATCCTATGTAGGAGCATATGTTTCAATTGAATTCTTGACTATTTTACTTAAAAAGTTTCCTGAACATCAAAAAAAAAAAAAAAGAAAGAAAGAAAGAAAAAAGTTTCCTGAACATTGAGACATTAACAGTTTGGATAACCTCCAGGGAGGGTAGCCTACCTAGAGAATACAAAGGTGATCTGTGTCCTGGGAAGCTGTGTCACCTAACTCTGTGAACAGCCCCCAAAAGTTTCATCTCTGACCAGTTAATTACAGTTACGCTCTTTCATCATTTTCTTGTGAGCTTGGGCAAAATGAGCAATTCCCTCTAAACTAATCAACTCTAGATTCATGATCAAAATTGAGTTCCTTACTTGTAAAGCTAAGGTCCAGACCCTGGACAACATCAAGGTATGGCCTGAACAGACTATTAGCTGGCCTTTATCTTTGACATTAGCACCTCAGCTCTAATATCAACATTCCTTGCCTGCAATGAGCTTAATGTAGCTTTTTCAAATATAAGACCTTTGCATGTTTAAAAATTATAAAATATTGGGGTGCCTGGGTGGCTCAGTCGTTAAGTGTCTGCCTTCGGCTCAGGTCATGATCCCAGATCCTGGGATCGAGCCCCGCATCGGGCTCCCTGCTCGGCAGGAAGCCTGCTTCTCCCTCTCCCACT